TACACACGTGCTTCTCTTGGGCCCTGTGGGGATACTGAGTGCTTTGGGGAGGGGAAAAGTGTGAGGCAGCCTCAGTGAGCCCAGGGCTGGAGCTGCATCCCACAGGACTGGGGGGTTGTTTGCTCTCACAGGGGGAACGTTGCATTTTTTTACCTTCTTTCACTTTGATTTGCCATCATCCCGGTTTCATTCATCATTTACTTGCCTAATTAGGCCATTTGCTGCAGGGGAGCATCTCAGAATCCTGCTCCTGGTTCTGTCTTCCCTTGGGTCTTTTCTGAAGGGATATCACCTCCTTTGGGTGTCTCGGGGTCCCACAGCAGGAAGCAGGACTAACCCTTACCCCTTGAGCCAAGGCCATTGTCACCCTCAAGCCCGTGGAAGAAGCTCCAGAGCTTCACACAAACCACTCACCTTCATTTTTACCCGAAACATTTTACATCTGGAAAACACAAATGCCTTTTCCATCACTTGCCCTGTCCAGTCCTGAGGACTCCAAGGATGGGGATGCAGAGGTGGCAGCCTGGCCTGTTGCTTCCAAAACTGCATTTTTTTATTTAACTTAAAAAAAAAAAAAAAAAGGGAAGTGGAGAGAAATCTAGTGAGTGGCAAATGTTAGGGGCAGTTCCTGCCCCTTCAAACAGTGGTCAGCAGGGTGCCTGTGAGGAGCACAGCTGTACATGTCCTTCTGCAGAACCTCCTGGATTGGGGGATGTTGTCAAGTTTCGGAGAAGAAATGGAGACATGGGAGAAGGAGAGAGGGTGTCAGAACCAGCAACATTCAGCTAAAATTGGGTTTTTATCATAGAATTGTAGAATGATTTGGTTTGGAAAGGATTTTTAAAGCTCATCTCATCCCACCCCCCCTGGCATGTGCAGGGACACCTTCCACTAGCCCAGGTTGCTCCAAGCCCCATCCAAACTGGCCTTGGACACTTCCAGGGATGGGGCAGCCACAGCTTCTCTGGGCAACCTGTGCCAGTGTTTTACCCACCTTCACTGTAAAAAAACTTCTTCCTTATGTATAACCTAAATCAACCTTCTTTTAGTTCAAACCATCCCCCCTTGTCCTCTCACTGCAGGCCCTGATTAAAAGTCTGTCCCCATCTTTGTTACAGCTCCCCATTCATGATGTAAAGAAATAGGCAGCTGCTTGGGGGGGAGGCATCTGGGCCAAGATACCCTTGGAGGGAGGATGTCCCAGGAAAAATGCAGTGTCCACACTTTTTAAGAGGGGGCCATGGTGGGGTTGTGTCAGCAGGAGGCTTCTGCCCGAGTCCTCTGAGCCAGGGCTCAGGTTTCTGTTTTTTTCCTACTAATTTTCAGAAGCATTTGCAGCACGTGGCCCATATCCATAATTGCACTCCTGGACTTGTTCTGCTCTGATGCATAAATAACATGCACTGTAAAGAAAAAGTGTATGATTACATATTTAATGGATAAACAGAGACGTTGTGGTCTATTGGCCACATAATAAAAGTTTCCAAAAAAAAATTGTCTTAATACAGTGTTTCCCCAGGAGACTGCCGTGGCTGAAACGTGAGGGAGCTATTTTAAATTTTAAACATTTTTTTAAGCCACGTTTCATAGCCTTCCCCATTTCTACAACACCCATCTTCTAAAGTTTTCCTTCATTTAAATTTAAAATAAGGACAATAAATTATTCTTTTCCTTAGCAGCTGGCAGAGCCTCTCCAGCGTGAAAGGTCTGGATTAAAGTGACAAAACCCCAGACAGATGTACCTTTTCCACTGGAATTTGGGAAGCAGCTTGCTGCTCGTGCAGCAGATGGGTGCTGAGCCATCTCCCCACCTTTCATGCCCCTCATCACTGCCTGTCCCACCTTGGCCATTCCCATGACTTTGGCAAATTCAATTGCAAGTACAGGAATTGCCTCTCTGGTGCTGCCCAAGCCAGGTGTCCATCCCCGTGGCTGCATCACCCTCGATGGCTTTGTGAGCAGGATTTCCCACACCGTGGCCAGGAGAGGCCAGAGCTCTGCAATAAGGCACATAATGAGGTTTTAAGGGCACATAAATCTTGCCAGAGCAAAGCCAACCCTGCTGCCTCCTGGACACCACCAAAGCCAAGGGGAGCAATTCAGAGTGGCCTCTGAGTCAGCCTCAGTCAGGCTCCTCCTGCTGTTGAAATGCAAGGCAGCATTTAATTCCTGTGAGTTAAATCCCTTCAGTTGGTAATTAATACAGAAAAAGGGCAGATCTAGGAAAACTTGTCCCCCTGACACCACTCCTCTGCTGATGGAGAATCCAAAAGAGAGCAGAACATGCTGTGGGGTGTTGTGTAAAGCTCTTGATTCCTGACCTGCAGCAGCAAATCTGGTTTTGCATTCGGATTTGTTTCCTCTGAAGCCTGCCGAGCCCTCACTGGTCTTCCCTGGGTTTCCTTCTGTGTGTGCTGCTAATGGAGTTGGCAAACCTCCCCTGGTAATGAGAGATCACACCTCAGCAGGCTTATCAGGAATGAAGATTGTTAATAAATAAAGCTCGGGTCTTTAAACTCGTGTTAACGTTAATCAGATTAACATGAAAGAGAAAAAGCCTGGAAAACAGTTCAGGCAGGGTTTGCCTCCCTCCCACTCCATGGCTGGAGGAGGCTGTGTGGGAGCTGGGCTCTGCCTGTGGCACTGAGTTCTGCTGCTGGGGGTGACCAGGCAGGGATGGATCTTGGGGGAAAACTGAGTTTTCATGGAAAATACTACAAACTGGAAATGGGGTCTTGAAGCAACAAACAGCAGGTTTGTTCCCATCTCATATTTGGGAACAGGGGCAGGGGGTGGACACACTGGAAGGAGTCCAGGGGAGGCCACAGAGATGCTCCCAGGGCTGGAGCCCCTCTGCTCTGGAGCCAGGATGGGAGAGCTGGGGGTGTTCACCTGGAGAAGAGAAGGCTCCAGGGAGACCTGAGAGCCCGTTCCAGAGCCTAAAGGGGCTCCAGGAGAGCTGGAAAGGGACTTTGGACAAGGGATGGAGTGACAGAACAAGGAGAATGGCTCTAAGCTTAAAGAGGACAGGGTTAGATGGGATTTAAGTTCTTCCCTGTGAGGGTTGGGAGGCCCTGGCACAGGTTGCCCAGAGAAGCTGTGGCTGTCCCATCCCTGGAAATGTCCAAGGCCAGATTGGACAGGGCTTGGAGCAACCTGGGCTAGTGGAAGGTGTCCCTGCCCATGGCAGGGTTTGAAATGAGATGACCTTTAAGTTCCCTTCCCACCCAAACCAATCCAGGACTCTGATTGCTGCTGCTCCCTCCTGACCCAACCGCTTGAACTTTGGTTTATGCCGTGGCACGGGGGATATACACTTCACAAGATATTTTTATTATGTCTAATGCAGCATTCAGCATTCCTTATTAGACACATATATATATGTTTCATTTCTCCTTCCAATCTTTCAAGGTCAGTGGGCTCAGCAGCCTCAGGAGGCAGTGCCTGTGCCTGCGGCCTGTGCCATGTCCGTGTGTCCCTGCAGCCGTGTGTCATTAGTCACCTTTCAGTCCCATCAGATGTTCCCTCTCTCTTCCATTATGAGAACAGATTAAGGGGTATTAGGAAACTCCACAGTTTTGGGGGACAGCTCTGTCACGTGGCCTCTTCTCCTCATCTCTTACCTCCTCCAGTCGTGCACACACATACGTCGCTTCTGGCTCCTTCCTTCACTGGGAGATCTTAACAAGCAACCCATAATGGTTTTTTCCCTTGTCTGGACTCTTTTTTTCTTTATTTTATTTTCTACATTCGTATTGAGTGGCATTGGAACAGATTGTAATATTTAAAAATGGAAAAGTCATCTTGAGATGGAGGTGGTGGCCACCAGCAGGTCTTGCTTCCGCACCTTAGGATCCAGTCTTGGGAGATCTTGGACCCCCTTCCAGTGCCTAAGTGCCCCAAGAGAGCTGCACAAGGGCCTGGAGTGACAGGACAAAGGGGAATGGCTTTAACCTGAAAGAGGGCAGGGTTAGATGGGATATTGGGAAAAAATTCCTCCCTGTGAGGATGGTGAGGCCCTGGCATGGGTTGTCCAGAGAAGGTGTGGCTGCCCCAACCCTGGAAGTGTCCAAGGCCAGATTGGACAGGGTTTTAAGCAACATAGTGTAGTGGGAGGTGTCCCTCCCCATGGCAGGGGTTGGAATGGGATGATCTTTAGCTTTCCTTCCAACCCAAACCATTCACTGATTCTGTGGTTCTGTGTTGTGAGAGAAGCTTGAGGCTTCTGGAGCCTGGGGATGTACAAACCTCTGCTTTGAGGGTGGTGTCACAGCTTTGGGCAGATTGATGTGGTGGGAGCAGGGACCTGGGGCTTCCACTGATGGCTTTTGTGCTTTCTTGTTCCTAGGTTTAACCCCAGTAGCACGAGTGACCCAACAGCCCTGCAGAGGGTGCAGGGGGTTGGTTGTGGTACCTCCAGATACTCAGACGAGCAGATATTTTTTTCACCTCTGCAGTTACTAAATGTCAACACCAAGTGTTGCTCAGAAAGACCACCTTTGGGATACACAGCCTCTAATGCTGCATGCCTGATGTACCAGGGCTTGTCCCCCAATATCCTGGCACAACATGTGCCTGTGCTCAGCGATGGCCTTACATTGCAGCAGCAAAGCTTGGCCCCAGAAATGCCCCGTAAACTGCAGTGCTGTCCCTTCTCCTGGTGATGTGGCCAAAAATTGCTCATTTATGAACAATTTTGGTTTTATATCCCTGGTAGATGCCAGGCACCAGTGGTCCCTAAGGCAGGCAAGGGCACCTCCTGGGCACACAGACCTATGTAGAGAGGTGATTTAGGACCTCTCTGCATTGCTCACGGGCAGGGGGATGGCAGGAGCAGAGCCCTGGGGGCACAGCGCTCAGCTCTTGGCTTTTTTTGGTAAGGGAGCATGAGGAAGAATCTCTCCCATCCACAGAGTCAGAGCTGGTCTTGAAGTGATTTGACAGCGTAATAAATCCACGAGTACGTTTTGTAATGACGAGGTGATCTTCTCCCCACTCAGATCCAGGAGATGGTCCACTCGGACGCTGCATCCTACGATTCCAACCGCCAAGTGCCCCTGCTCAACCGCCCCGGGATGCTGGCCGGCCCCATGAGTGCCCTCAGCCAGTCCCAGCTCATCTCTCAGATGGGGATGAGGAGTGGTGTCGCCCACGGCTCCCCCTCACCCCCGGGAAGCAAGTCTGCTACACCATCTCCCTCCAGCTCTACTCAGGAAGAGGAGACGGAGTCACATTACAAGGTACGTGCCTGTTTTATGGAGGGACGTTCTTCAGCGAGGGTTAAATCGTGCTAAATAGGCTTTTATTTTGAATATATAGAGTTCTTCTATATATCACTTCCCCAAGGATGAGGTGATTGTTTCCAGCCTAGGGTGAGGCCCAGCACTCACCCAGAAGGTTTGGAGATGAGAGCTGGGCTTCTGCCTCCACGTTTTACCAGGTCCATCCAGCTGCAGAGTTTCTTCTTACGAGGATTTTGAGGAGCAAAGCAGGTTCAGGGCTGAGGGTCCTGCAAATGCTTGAGGCAAAATTAGATTTCTAGTGGTGGGTAGAGGAGACTAAGACAGGGAAGAAAAATATCCCATGGTGAGATTTAACTGAGCTCACTGGACGTGGCTTGCTAAGGTAAAAAACCCCAGAAATTAAAAGAGAAAGAGTCTTTTAGTTCACCCAGGTGGTGTTTTAAGTAGTCAGCAATGTCTCAGTGGTCTCTACAGCCAACACAACTGCTGCTGAGCATGGCATGAACAAACCCAAGGAATTCCTAGGGTTTGGGGCACATCTTGGTTGTTGCTCATCTCTCTCAAAATGCACCAGTAGAGCAAACAACACGTGCTGTGCTCCAGGAGTCTGCAGCTGTTGTTTACTGAGGGCAAACTCCAGCAATTACTGTGTTGCTGCCTCAATACCTGGTGTGTCTCTGTGCCTTTGATTAAAGCCTGTCATGGAAAACCCTCTCCTGGAAGGTGCTGACCCAAGGCACTGGGGTTGTAACCTTGTCCCACCAAAACAGACTATTGTGACAGGATTTGAATGTATAACCAGAGCAGCAAACAGCGCAGACACTGGAAAACTAGGAAAATGCTAGGACTGGGCAAAACCCTTTCCCTTTCTGTGGAAATCCAGGAAGATGGATTCCCATCAATCCTATAGTTCTTCATCCATTGGCAGGTTTCACTTTAGACTGGGGCATTTCAAAGCAGAGAGCAAAGGTGGATGCAAAAGCAGCTTCAGTGGAATACATCTGTAAAAAGAAGGGATACACATGGTTAAAAATAGATGGAGTTTTTCAAACTCTCTGATTCCATGTCTGGGGTGCACTACAGGATGGGTTATGCTGCTGGACCCCACAGTCTGCCATCTCCCAAAACCTGTGTCACACAGCTCTGAGCAATGACCTGGCAGCTGAAATATTTCATGTCAGCAGAAAATTAGTTTCAGCTTAGTGACACACCAGGTTCTTTTTCTGCCTCCATCAGCATCACCAAGCATTTCCTCCCAGCCAGCCAGGAGTCCCTGGAGCTTTGGGGTTGCATCTTCTGTTCTCTTGAGCCAGTGGTGCCCTTGGGAGTAGGAGATGTCCAAATTTGCAGAGATCAGAATTTTTCCTAATCCTTAAGGCAAACCCCCTCATTTTTTCTGCCCTGTAAACTTCCCATCAAGACAGGTGGGACAGGAGTGATGTGTTTGATGGAGGAGGAGACCCTAAATGTCAGGAAAGCAGCAGAGCTGTGTTGTGGCCTGCAGGTTTCTGTTTGCTTTCTCTGTCTGCACAGCTGCTGCATTCACCCACCAGTCATTTTTCATGTGGCCATTAAGGGCTTTTCTGCAACAGGTCATCAAAGCAACATCTAACAAGCAGAAATTCATCTTGTGAGGAAGAAGGTCACACATTAAAGAAATGGGTCTGATGCCAGCAATTACTTCAGGTCCAGCAGTTCCTCTGAGCCAGGGAGTTGATGATTTTAGGAGGTCTCCCAGCCCCACTGGTGCATTTACTTGCTTCACTGCTTTGGGGTACACATGCATGGGGAGGAGAGGTAGTTACAGCTCAAATTCCAGCTGGATTAGTGGTCACCCTCCACAGTTATTAAAATCACAGTGTCCATGTGGTTCTGGCTCTTCATGGGTTCAACATCTAAGGAGGCACCAAGGTTATGGGATCATATCTGTCACCAGGAAATTGCCCCACATCTGATGTCAAACAGACCTTCTGCTGCCTCTCCAGGGCAAATCCATACACTTCATCCTGCTATCCAAGCCTTCATGGTCCCTTTGACCATGGGGGATGACCCTTGGGGATGACCCTTGGGGATGCTCTGGGACAGCAAGGCTCTGCCTCGTTGGGGTTTGGTTTAGCCATGAATATGGCTTAGGTTGTTCAAGCATCTTTTAAGGTCCAGGGCCAGGCTGTTGTCTCATCCCAGCTGCATCCCAGCTGGAAAACCCTATGAAAACCAGGCAAAGTCCTGATCTGCTCTGCTCCCTCCTGGGCACTGACAGCTCCTGGCAGCCTCACAGCATCTGTTTTCCATAAATCCCACGTGCTCTTTGGTGCTGTCTGAGCAGGACTGGCTATAAACCTGCCTGTGGTTGTGTTGGTCCTGTTCCAGCTCCTTGGCTTGGTCGGTGGCTGTGAGGGAGGAGGTTCCCCTGTAGCATTTCAGTGAATCAAACGGGATCACAGTTATTTAAAATACCATCTCACTTCCTAATGGGCTGAAGCCCTGTCATGCTTTTGGTTTTTTTCATCCTAATAAGCTGGCCTTTCACCTCCAGGCCTCCCATTCAAGCCCAATTGGGCAATTTTAAATTAAATGCAATTTTTTTGAGCTCAGTGCTCATTCACTAATGGTCACTGTCTGTTTGACAAATGTCACTGCGCTGATACTGAAATTAATGGCCAGTCAAGAGCTGCTGAGCAGGGAACAGGAGCACTGCTGCCCTTTCCTCCCCGTGCCTGCCCTGTGCCAGCTGAAGGGAAGCCTCTTCAATCCTGGCACTGCCCAGTACGTGGTTAAATCCACAAATCTGTCAGAAGAGGCTGTTTACTCCCAGCTCAGCAGGAGGAAGTGTGTTAACAACATCTTGGTGTTTAGACCTGTGTCTTTTTAAGAGATACAACAACCTGTGCAGCTGGTGGAGCAGGGACTGACACAGTTGGGTACTGGCTGAGCACTCAGTGCTTGAGCTCAGGTTCTGCAGGTGGAGGGGCTGGTGCCCCATTTGCCCTCCTGGGTGCAGAGATCCAGCCTGCAGCAGGCAGTGGTTTTATTCTCTGCTGTGTTTAACCTCCAGCGTATTTAGTTTTTCCTTGACTGTAAAATAAGGATAATGGTGCTTTCCTGTAGTGTGAGCTTTCACTGACCACACGTAATGTGTTAAGAGCTCTGATGGATGTCCAAGTGCTTTCTAGGGGTGTTTTCCTTCTCATACCCTCACATGGAGACTTCTGCACTCCCTTGTATTCATAGAATCGTGGAATATCCTGAGCTGGAAGGGACCCACAGGGATCATCAAGTCCAACTCCTGGCTCTGCCCAGGAGACCCCAACAATCCTGCCCTGTCCCTCAGAGCGTTGTCCAAACCCTCCTGGAACTCTGGCAGCCTTGGGGCTGTGCCCACTGCCCTGGGGAGCCTGGTCAGTGCCAACCACCCTCTGGGGGAAGAACCTTTTCCTAACACATTGCACAGGTATCCTGATAGAGGCTGATGTAGGGTCTTCTTTCTGTGCTACCATCCCTGTTTCCTGACCTGCTGTTCTACTTCCTAGCCCAGTGGCAGCATCTTGTGCTGAGCAGCCACAAAGTCCAGCTCCTGTTGCCTTTGTCCTGCTCCCCTTGGTTCCAACACCCTCAGGGCACTGAGCATGGGTACAGCCAGACCTGGTCATCCAGCTGCACCCAGATGGGTTGTAAAGAGTGAACAGTGTATGCAAAGCATTTAATTCATAAGATTAAATAGTTCCATTCCGGGATATTTTTCCTGGGTAGGGGTACATACATGTTAGCAGAGTGAAGCAAATTTTGGATGGCCCCAGTGTGATGGTTAATGTGATGCTGGTGCTCACAATCCTCCTGGGAATGGGGACACTGAGCCACTGGCACACACATGGATAAGGGAAATCGGGAGCAGCTTGCAAAGGGGGCTTATTGGGGTGGAAATCAGAAACCATTTGGAAGCCAACTTTGGAAAAATTCATGACCTGGTAAAGGGATATGGCTGGGAAGCAAAGCATTTGGAGAGGTCCAAGAAAAGTATCAAGGAGTAAGTGAGCTTGTGGTGCCAGAGAGGAGGAGGGGGAAGGAGGATGACCAAGGGTGAGTGCCTGGAAAGCCCTACTTTTGGAGCAGGTACAAAGGGATGAACCCAAGCTGTGAGCTGTGAGCTGTGAGTGGAGTCACCAAGCCAGGCTTAGGCACCCACCAGCAGTTTGTGTAATGATCCAAGAGGCTCCTGGGGCCAAAGAAACCCCGAGGGCTGCTGCCCCCCTCTCTCCATGCTGGGATCCCTCCCCTTGTCATTCCCCCTCTCATCTCCTTGGCTCTAGCAGGGACTTGTATCTGACCACTCCCAGCTGACTGCTATGGTTCATCTCATGGTTTTGCAGGCTACTGGAGAGAAAAGACCATCAACAGACCTGGGTAAAAAGCCCAAAAGCCAAAAGAAGAAGAAAAAGAAGGACCCCAATGAGCCCCAGAAGCCCGTGTCAGCCTACGCCCTGTTTTTCAGAGACACACAGGCAGCCATCAAAGGGCAAAACCCCAACGCCACCTTCGGAGACGTGTCCAAAATTGTGGCATCCATGTGGGACAGTTTGGGAGAAGAACAAAAACAGGCGAGTTACTGATTTATTTACTTTTATTTTTTCCTTTCAGCCTCTGAAATGTGTTTTTCCATGGCACGGAGCATCTCCCCAGAACGTGGCCAGGCTGGAGTGTGTGGTCAGGAACAGAGGCTGTGTTCAGGAGCAATGCTGAAGTGCCAACTGTGAAAAATTGCTGTTGTTGCATTGGGAAGAGCAAATTTTTATGACAACTAATTATTCTTGATAAGTTCATACTCTGCAAAGCCATCAATGGCCTTTCCCTGACCTGGGTTTTACAGCCTTAGATGGGAGATGGGTTTGTGTTTGCTTATTTACTTACAAGGAGTGACAGTAAACTGGCTAAACACTATTAACTCCCTATATTGCTGCCTTCAAATCCAACGTTCAGGCTTTAAAACCTTGGGAAGGAGATGTCTGGAGTGGCCTCACAGAGGAAACCTTCCTGCCCCAAAGCTGTCAGCCACTTTCCGTTTGCTTCACAGGGAGAATTCTGTGTCCTGCTTTCACTGTTTTGTTGCTGCTGAGTCTGTTACAAAAGCCTGTAATTGCTTGTTGCCTATTGAGAGAACCCCAGGGAACACTTCCTGTAGCAAGGATGGCTTTTTATCAAGCAGAGTGAGATCTGACACTGTGAGATGTGTCCTGGATCCAAACAGGCTTTATCTGGGAGCCCTTCTCCTAGAGCCTGGCTGCCAGCTCCTGTTGGGTGTCCATGGCCAGCATTGGAAGCACCTATGTCTGGAGAAGGAGCAGCAGGGAGGAGAAAAGCCATTAAGCTGGAATTCATGCTAGGAAATAGCCCTGCTTTCCACCCCACACCACGCCAGGAATACAAGCAAGACATCTTCTGGGTTGGCAGCCCTTCTGCTGCTCCATTTGGAGCCTCCATTCTGTGCAGTAGCGGTGCTTTGATGTTCTCGTGATCCTCCCTTTTGTCCTCTTTGGCTGGATCCCTGGTGGATCATGCAGGCAGGAGTTCCTCACGCTGAAGAGGTGAGGAAAGGTCCCTCTTTGTGCAGCAGGGTGACCCCAGCCCTGGGCAGCTGCAGGGCAGGGTCTGGGTTTGGGCTGTTGGGGCAGGGTGTGGAGGTTCAGGAGCGTGGAAAAGCTTTCTGTCACCTCTTTCTCCTGCTTCCATCCCTCTCAACATCTCGTTCTGCCTCTGCCTGGTTACCAATGTCTCCATAGTTTGGGCACTGAGCTCGGCTGCAACTGTGGCTCAGAGAATGGAAGCACTGGTGCGACCCTGACTCAGCTCAGTGCAAATGCTCAGCTCTTAATTAACAGCAGGGATTAAACCAGCCCGTTTATCTTCCCTGCTAACTCTCCCTCCTTCTCTTTTATGAGCTTGCAGCAGCCTTGCCGTCTCTTTACACACGCTTTCTAAGTGGCTCCATTTCTCCCTCTGTAATTGATTTAATTAAGTCATTTGTTCCTTGTCTGAATGCTTAAATATTAACTTCCTGGCTTTGTCTCCAGCTGGATACTTCTCTCCCACAACAGTTACCTCCCTGCCCGGGACTCTGGCTGGAGGGACTCTATTTATCTTTGGCTCTGGGACCGTGTGGCTGATTTGTGCAGTGTGGCACGTTCACTCTTGAAGTGTCTGGCTGCAGGAGAGTTTATTTAGTCCCTGTTTGCTTTCCTCCACCAGCATCCCCAGACAAGTGTTTTTTTTTTTTTTTAGATTCACAAGGCATTGCAATGGAAAGAGAAAAAGGAAGAGAAAATTTAAAAAGCATTAACAAAATGTCTTTAATATGTGAAAAGAGGTGCCTGGGCTGTGCTGTAGACCCTGCAGGACAGGGTGCACACATTCCCAAGGAAGGCAAGCAGTCCATGCTGAGAGCTCTCCTGGCACATTTGGAGAGGGGACAGGGATGGAGCAAGACAACCACGTGCCACTGGCCAAAATCCTGCAGGGACCTGGGAGTCCAGATTCCCACATGGCTGTGCCAAATCGTGGCTCAGCTCTTTGCCAGGCAGGAGCATCGTGCTCTGGGAAGGAGCAGGAATCAGGAAAAGGGAAGTGTTTCATCTGGGACGCTGCTCTTAGCTTTGTTGACAGCAGTGGCTTCATGTGCTCCCTACAGAGAGCAGAGCAGAGGACAGGCTGGGGAACAGCCAGTACAGGGATGGCACAGCAGGCAAGCAAGACCCAAACCTGAGCATTCTGCCTCAATTATGACCAAGGCTTTTGTTCAAGAACACTTCCCCTCTTCCTCACATGAGAAAAGAGGGTGGATTTGAGGCTGTAGGATCTGATCTGGAGCTTGTCCCACACTTGGATGTCCCTCAGCCCCCAAGATGCTCCTGGTGGGGCTGGGGCATCCCATCTCCAGAGGGGCAACGTGCAGAGCCCAGCCCCACCAGGCATTATTACCAGTTGTTTCCATCTCTGCAATTTCTGCTTCAGGTGACTTTTACAAACCTTATTCTTCACTTTCCAATGGGCCCAGAGTTTCCTCAGTCCTGGATGTGTTTTGGTTCCTGCCTTGTGGGAGAGCAGCAGGCAGGGAGCAACCAGGGAGGGGCTTCGAGGGAAGCTGGTCCATAAACCCACCTGCAGCCAAGGTGTTTTGGACTTGTGATTCCCCTGGCACATGTCCTGCTGTCCCTGCACTGTGTCCATCAATCATCCCATCACAGGGGTTGCACAGAGGTGGAGTGGCCACCGTGCCAGTGCCAAAGGGATTATGAAAGCTCAGTGCTGGTGGCTTGTAGCCATGCTAGCCAGTGCCCTGGGCTGGGATGGATGGCTCTGTGCCCCCTCCAGAACCTCAGCCCCTCTCCAAGGACACTACATGGAGCATTTCTGCTGTCAGCAGTGAGATGCCACCCCTTTGCCAGGTAGCCCTGCCCAGCACACGGAGGGTTAATCCTCTGCCATTTGTGCTGCTAATGATTATATGCACTGTAATATCAAAGCTGTAGCTATTTATTTGCCATTGAGCAGGTGCTGCTGCTCCCACAAAGCAAATTTGCTTTCTCCTCCTGATGAAACAAGCAAAATAAAGGTTGCTCACGTCCCATTTCAGATATGTTTTTTTTTCCCTGTGCACCAGCTGAAAGACAAACACAGAGAGGGAACCAGAATGCGTATTATGCAAGAAACCATATAATCTAGGAGCATCTTTGATTTGGCTGCTGCTGTCACAGACATGCATTTCACAGAGAGGCTTTCCCCCCCCCCTTTCCTTTTGTTCTTACTAGTTTATCATTTGTGCCTTTGTCATTTTGTTCCTTCTTCTCAGCCTCTTCACAATGAATCTTCATTTTCCCTCTGACACACTTGTATCTAAATTTCCTTATTTCCTGCCTTTTTTTATTTATATCTGTTGCCTGGTGATTTGATCATGCTGTGGAATACAGGATTAGCAATCTCCGTGTCCTTGGGTACTGCTCAAGGACACCTGTTCTGCAAAGCTCCGTTTTCTTCCCCATTTTAACCCCTTCCAGCGTGTGGAACAGTAATAAATAACAATACCTTGAAATATCTCCAGCTCTGCGTTGGCAGGACATTGTAATCTTCATTCTTCAACAGCTGGCGTGGCCCTTTCTAAGAAGCTTACACGGGAATCTGAAGAATGTGACTCGGGGAAAAAAAAATATTAATACATCCTCTTTGAACTTTGCAAATAGTTTAGCAGCTGTTCCTGCAGAGATAGCTTAGACTCTGCTGGAGAGGGAAATGCTAATTCAGCCATTAGCATCAAATGGGGTACCTGTCCTAGGAATCTGCCTGCAGCTCCGGGTCCCAGCTCCAGGCTCCCAGAATCCTGTGCCTCCTGTGCTGGGAGTTTTTTTCATTAGCAGATCTCAACCCAGCGAGGTTTAAAAGGGCTGCCTGATTTGACAGAAATTAGAGAAATTTGAGGACTAGATTGGAGCAAACTCTGCTAATTCACTAGGAAGGATTTTTCCCCGGCATGAGTGGAATGCTGGCAGGCTGGTCCCAGTCCATGCCACCCTCAACCCCTTCATCTCCTTCCACAGGGCCACCAGCAGTGCCATCTCTGCTCAAGAGCTGGTGACACCAGCCCTGGTGGTTGTCCTCCCTCAGGGGGATTTCCTGTGGGTGATAAGCCTGGAAACTCTCTGGAGTGTACTGAGGAGTCACTGGTGGGATTCACTCTTCTCTGCCGTGTTCTTATTCCCTTTCTGGGTATCTTCCTGTTGTGGGGGAAAGGACTTTGGGTTGGAAACTGGTGATGTTGGAGCATGGGATATGCTGCCAAGGTGGCATTTGCAGATGTTTCTGGAACCTGCTTCTTTTGATCAGGAAATCCAGCCATAAAGTCAAAGCATTGGTCAGTGTTTCCTTTAAACCCTGGAAACTCAGAGCAGAGGAATCAGGGAATTCCAGAGCAACCTGCTGAGTGAACCCAGGCTAACCCAGGACTTCCCATCCAAAATGAGCAGAAGTTGGACAAAACCAACATTTCCAGTTGAGTTTATGAGTCTGGAGACTCACTGGGGACACAAAGGTACTGGGGATAGCAATAGCCCTGCTTCACTGGGACCAGTTCAGTAATGCCAGGTCACTCACTAGCCAAATGCATATGGGATTTTCCCAAACAAATGCACAGCCTAGAGAACTACTCAGCTCCAGGGGTAAAGTCACACTCCAGGGGTAAATTACCCAGCAGAAAAATTGCTCACTCAGCAGAAAATAATAGATCACCCATTTAATCAGATCCATCTGCTCACTGAACCTGATACCTCACCTGGTGACAGGGCACTGCAGGTACCTGCGGTGGGACAGAGGCATCTCAGGCCATCTGTAAAGGTGTTTTATGGAAGAGCCATCACAGGGGAGCAGTCCCATGGGAATGGCATGCAGCAGGTGCTGCACACTGGCCAATTCCAGCACTGGAGTCAGTGCTGTCAGAGCTGGAGCCACCATGGGTTGCAGTTTCCTCCTGCAGCCCCAGAGCCCTGGCAGTGAGGGGCTGAAGGGTCCAAGCAGTCACTCTGGCCTGAAAGGAGTTTTCAGCATCTTCTGAGCATCAAGGAAAGCTGGAGAAGCATCAAAGCACCAATCCCAAACAAGGTTTCAAGAGAGGTGTGGTAGAGGGAGGGATAATGATAAGGGAGGATGTGAAGGGTCAGATCTTCTCCTAACAGCAGCTCCAAGAGTGTGACTGCTCTTCTTGGAGAGCAGGATCAGAAGTGTGGAAAGATGAGTGTTGTGTGCTTTTCGTTGGAGGTTAGGGGTTGGATCTGTGAGCCTCCTCCTCTGTTTCCTTCGGAGTCTTCCATGGGCTGTCTGGGAACACTCTTGGTGCCCTCACATGGAGTGATAGGTGACTTACACCCTGGTGGCACCATGAAGTCAAGGCAGAGGAAGGCAGGAACCTTTCAGGATGCTTTAATCATTGGTAATTGCTGCTTGATTACAGGTCCATCCATTCATTGTCCAGAGGACTGCTTCACAGCACCACATCTCTGCCAGGATAACAGGGAAGCTCTCCTGAAACCGTGCCAATAGTTCCCATAGCCAGGGCCTTTTCAGGGGGTGTGACTGACCCCAGTCGTGACTTTTGAGTCATCCTGTGAATAAGCCATAAGTTATGGTGAGCCCAAGACATATATTGCAGGAAAATGTATAATAGTGACAAGAAAAATCTCCAGATTTACAAGCAGAATAAAACCCAAATTTATACATTTGGGAGAAAAAAAAAAAAACAGTCATGGAATCATAGAAAGGAGAGCAAGGAGAGACTTAAGAGGTCAACCAGACCATACTGCTGCCTGAAGTCAGGATCATCTCTACTTAAACCATTCCTGATGGATGTGTGCCTAATCTGTTCTTAAACCCTCAGTGGTGGAGATTACACATCTCCCCAGGCAATCTCTTCCCATGCTTAATTATCCTTCCTTTCCAGTGCTTAGCCAACATTTCCCTTGTTACAATTTAAGCCTATTGCCCCTTTTCCTAGATGGACAGGATCACTCGGTGCCTCCTTTGCTGGGTTGTGTTTGGACACGTGGCTACTCTTGGCCTTCCCTCCCAGCTTTCCTCCCAGAGACCTTTCCCGCACTCTCCATCTCCTCTCTCCTGACGACCTGCCTCTTTTTTGGAGCAAACTCCACCTGGGATTGAAGCAGAGACCTTTCTGCTTGACATCAGTGCACCCCTTAATGCTTTGGGGGAGAGTTTGGAGTTCTTTCCATCCTTCCCCAGGCTTGGGAAGCAGCATTCCTGGAGAAACAGGCGGGCTGGGACGCCGAGGTTGCCGATAACAGCTCCGGCTGTCACTCAGTGCCTGCGTGACACGGAGCCGTTCGTGGGCGTCAGCGGGGTTTGGAATAATTGTCTTCTCTAATTAACTGGTTATCAAACAAGAACATTTCATTACGGTACAATTACTGGCTGCTTTGCCGAGACACAGGGGTGTCAGGATTACGATCCCAACATATGCTTCTTACAGCTCTGATTTTTTGTTTTCATAATCACTAACCGTTCTTGCTTCCTCCCCCCACCCCCCTTTCCCCAACCCACCCACTCACTTAATGACTAATGAATCCTCCTGCTAATGAATAAGGAAAATAAATCAGTGGGCATGGCAGGTTAGAAAGAAAAACATGCAAAATGTTTTGAGGATCCTTAAATCTGATAAATTACTTTGAAATTAAAATCCCTGGGAGAAAATGGGATTTAATTAGAAAGTAACATGGTTTTGTCAATGTTTAAATTAAAATTTTAAAGGTTATAAATGAGGCACTAGAGCTGCCTTTACACAGAGGATTCGTGGGAAGTTTTGTTCGGATCTGCTCTTCCCACGTCAGCGTGGCAATTCCCCAGGCACGGGCAGCTGGGTGTCCTGGGTGGAGCACTGTGTGGGTGCAGAAAGCCCCCATGGCAGGGGTAGGACTGCAGAATTCTCATCAGGAGACCTTTAGGGGTGGTTCTGTACAGTGAGGGTGGGGAGGCCCTGGCACAGGTTTCCCAGAGAAGCTGTGGCTGCCCCATCCCTGGAAGTGTCCAAGGCCAGGTTGGACGGGGCTTGGAGCAACCTGGGCTGGTGGAAGGTGTCCCTGCCCGTGGCAGGAGGGTGAAACTAGATGATCTTTAAGGTCCCAAAACCATTCCATTCCAAACCTAAACCATTCTGTGATTTTATGATTAAAAATCAGATAATCCATGGGGAACCTTCCAGAGCTGGAGGGAGCTCAGGGGGTCATCAGGAGAAAGCACCTCCTGGGCTCTCCCTGTCACCCTTCTCAGCAGCCCTGCCCATGGCCAGGCTTGAGCCAGGGCTGTCCCAGCAAGCCTGGAGGCTCCTGCTTGGAGCAATTCCCTGTTCCCTTCAGGAGGATGTGCCACTTGACTGTCCTTTCCCAGTCTTGCTGCACCAGACACCACCCAGCAGCACATCCCAATTCAAGGGAGGTCCAGTGCCCCCCTCATACCCTAAAAAAAGACAAGGGCAGATGAAAAGTGGCAACAAAAAAAAAAAAAGGGGGGGTTTAGCAGATAAAGCAAGTGGTGGGGATGAAGATAGGCAAAGACTTTATGGGTTATTCATTTATTTGCATTTGGGTTTAGGAAGTCTCATTTACCTGCCCTCTCACTATCCAGAAATTGAAGGTTTTTCTCCAGGCAAGTCTTCCTGATAATTGAATTTGGCTCTCCACAGCTGTGAATACTTTGATTTCTGACCACCTGAGATAAAAAAAAAAAAAAAAGGAAAGGAAAGGAAAGGAAAGGAAAGGAAAGGAAAGGAAAGGAAAAAGGAAAGGAAAGGAAAGGAAAGGAAAGGAAAGGAAAGGAAAGGAAAGGGAAAAGAACACTGTTGTATTTTGATATTACACAGTTAAAAAAAAAATTAAATATGCTTTCAATACATCAGCACCCAGCTGGGGCTGCTGTTCATATTTCATTTCTGTGCTGGGTACCAAATTTAGGAGCTGGGTACCACATTTAAGAACATCCAGCAGCAGAGCTGGTGGATACAGTACATGCTGTGGTGGTGGCACTGATCCTGCTGCTACAGGCACAGACCTGATCTAGTGGAAGGTGTTCTGCCTGTGGCAGGGGGATGGAACTGGATGAGCTTTAAGGTCCCTTCCAACTCAAGTCATTCTGTGATTCTATCATAAAAGATGTGAAGATTGTAGAGAAAGGTAATAGCTCTTATTAAGGGAACTGATACAGTTTGAAGAAATAGTTGCTTTTCACAGGCAAACTCTTCTTCAGGCTGACATTTTGAAATGTAGTTTTGTTCTGAATGGAGCAAATATAGTATTTTCTGAATACCATAAAGCCAAAGACAAACTTAGGGAAACGCTTCCATTTCAGAAAATTACCGTCTGAGACCTCCAGTGCGTCGAGTCAAAAAGTTTCATTACAGGAGTCACTGTGATTTAGCAGTGAAAATAAAGCTTTCCAATCCTTTTTTAATAGAATTTATCTGTACTGATTTTAAATTCAGGTAACTGGATAGTTTAACTGCTGGAGGTTATTTTCCCTTCCGAGGTCAATGTTGGGAGGGAGTCTGGGGTGCTGCCAAGGAGCTAAATCATAGACCCTTAGAACTGTTTTGGTTGGAAGAGACCTTTAGGATCATCCAGACTCTTCCCCCAGCACTGCCAAGGCCACCACTAAACCATGTCCCCACGTGTCACATCCATGTGGTTTTTAAACACTTCCAAGGATGGCGACTCCACCACTGCCCTGGGCAGCCTGTGCCAGGGCTGGACAGTGCTTTCCATGAAGAAATTTTCCCTAATATCCAGTATAAATCATCCTGGACAGAGATGTACCTGTGAAGCTTCAGCATCTCAAGTTGTTGAAAGCTCTCATTGGTTTTAAAGCCAAATTAAATCTATGCAAGTCTATTCTAATAGAAATCAACATTCAGTGCACTGCTTGAGGAGGGTTTTGAGTTTCCAGTGGGAAAGAGGGCTGGTGGGTCCTTTTCTTGGGAGTTTCTGTCTTAATCCTGAAGTTTTTATTCCGTTTTAAAATATTCTTCCCACTCAGTTTAACCTGTGTAACCCCATGATTACACAGGATCCCACCATTATTTTATTGGAGGTCCTCCATCTCCATGTGTGGAGGACCAAGCTCTGGGCAGAAAGGGGACCAGCACACCATCATGAGGCATCTCTCATTACGGGGAGAGCTGGAAGAATAACCAATAATTCACTCTTAAAAAGCTTTGTTATGTTTTTTCCTTAGGGAAGTAAACTCTCCTGGTACTTGCTGTTTCCCACAAGCCCCAGCTCAGCAATTCTTAAGATTAGCTAAAAGTCTCAGCTTTTATATGATGAGAAAGCAGTTCCCTGCTGTCCAGACTGCAGAGAAGAGCTGGAGCTTTGAGCTCTAAATAATGGGAGAGCCAAGAAAACAAATGGGTAGTTTAGGATTTCTGGATGTCTCACCTGTTTTTAAGCTAGTCATCATCATAGGGTCATAGAATGGTTTGAGTTGATCTTAAAGATAGTCCTGTCATTTGAGGATTTGGGCTTTTGTCTTGCTCTTCCAAGAGCCTGGATCATTCTTTGCCCTGATTCCTCTTGGGAAGTGGTTTCATTGGGTTCACCTTTAAAAATCAGGCTGTGTCTCTTACAGCAGACATGTATAAATGTAGGCACATAGGCTACTCTGACCTGTGATGTCTCCCAGAATCCCAGTGTGATCCAATCCAGGGGCTTTATGTTCTTGGTTTGGTGTAAATTCCTCTCCAGCAGAGTTTTTCATGCACATGGCCCCAGTGAAGAGGATCCCACTGAGCAAGCAGGGTGCAGCCAAGCCCAGCATCACCCTATTTTACTTTTCTAATTATTATCCATTCCCTGGTCCTTTCAGGCATACAAGAGGAAAACAGAAGCTGCGAAGAAGGAGTACCTGAAAGCTCTGGCCGCATACCGGGCCAGCCTCGTCTCCAAGGTACCTTGCTGCTGTGGGGCAGGGCAGTGCTGTGAGTTGCAACTCACAGGAACCTTCTGGAAGGAGCAAGTTTATAGGAAACACCATGTATCAGAACCGATATCAGCATTGGCACCTTCCCCAGGCTTTAGCGCCCTGCAACAAAACCCCACTTTGGGTTGCTTTCATCAGCAGGGGAGGGGTGTCCCTGCATGGGGTGTTGTCCCTATTGCCTGTCCCCACCACCAGCAGCTGTTCCTCACTCAGCTCTTGGGGTGTGAGTGCAGCAAACAGGGGCAGGAGGACGAGGCTCAGTGTGGGTGACACTGGGAGCCCAGGGGAGGATGACAGCCCAGTACTGAGCTCACCAGCCAGCACTGGTACCAGCATCCTGCTGCACCCTGCTCCTGCTGCACTCTGCTCCTGCTGCACCCTGCTCCAGACACTCGGGCTGTCCTGGCTGCTCAGGACCTCAGGTCCTGCACACTCAGCCTAGAGCAGATTTTTGGGAAGTAGGACCCCTACCTGTGTGTTGATGACCATGTGAGCACATATGTGCTTAACCCACCACTGTCAGGCCAAACCCAGAGAGCCCATTTCAGTGCCTAAGGGTGAACTTGAGAGCATTTCAGGCTCATACAGGAATGATGGGCCAAGTGCTTGACCATCCCAGGGGACCTCACAGCTTGCCCTCCTCCATGCCTCCAGGAAGGGGCCATGGGCATTTGCTGCCTGTGGATTTGGGGTGGCTCCTGTGGAGTTGGTAGGTTTGCTGGCTCAGGGGTAATGCTGCCCTTGGGTTGTGAGTAAATGTATCAGGTTGGTTTCTCTTCAAAGCTTCCCCTTTGTACTACACCACATCCTCAGCACTTAATCATCACATTCAGCTGCCATGGGAAATAATGTGATGTCCCAAATCAACCGTCATCTGCAGGATCCGTGTGATGGTGGTGAGCTGGAAAGCCTCAAAGTCCCTGTGCAGACTGTTGGCTGTCAACTTGCAAACAGAAGAGCAGCCAGGACAGAAAAAGGGAATGGGAAAGACTTTGGGGAGTGTAAAAGCTCTTCTTACACCTTCTGGAAACCTGTGGGGGTCCTGCCTTGACCGTGCCTCACAGCAGTGTGGGGCAGGAGGCATGGAAGGCGTGTGCTCTGTGACTTCATTTTTTTCCAATTTCTCCAAAGACCAATTCTCTGCAGAAGAGCAGCTTTGTTTCTGAGTAAAGCAGCACAGTGTGACCCTGGCTGATGGGTGAGAAAGGATCTGGAGTATCATTACAGAGCCCATCACAGGACAAAAGCCTCATTGTCCAGCCCAGAAAATTTCCCCTTGTTCTTCTCTTTTTCCTGCCGAAATGAGGGCACCATTGTCCAGTGCATTATAGACAGACCAGGGCTGCAAGAGGGCACAGGATCAGGAAAACAGAGGTTTTATAGACCCATTTGTTCTCCATTGGAAGCAAAATGTGGTCACCCACCTCTGTGGACTGAAGCAGTGAGCTGCTGGTGGGCTGTTTACTTCTTCCCTGGTTAATTCCCTCAGGTGCTCCAGGCTCTGCCAAAGGTGTGGTTGAGTTACTGGACTTGGGTTTCCCAGATATGGATGCTGCACCCAGCCTGTGGACACCCAGCTGCTGGAGGGGTGGGAGAGGAGCAGGAGCCATGGGGTCTGGGCAACTCGGTTGGACAGAAGGACATCTTGGGACACGTAACCATGTTTCCACTTTTCCTTCCTCATCACCTCCCGTTCTGTTTTCCCACAGAGCTCTGCCGACCAGGGGGAGACGAAAAGCGCCCAGAGCAACCCACCTTCCAAAATGATCCCCCCCAAGCAGCCCATGTACCCGATGCCTCCCCAGGCTTCCTCGCCCTACCCCGGCCTGGGCTCCTTCCTGTCCCCGTCGGACCTGCAGAACTACCGTGGCCACCCCCACCCTGGGCTGTCCCGGACCCTCAGCTCCAAGCCCATGCTGCCCAGCATCAGTGCCTCCCCCCCGCCCTCCTTCCAGATCAGCCCCCCGCTCCACCAGCAGCTGTCCTTGCACCACCCGCAGAGCTCCCTCCTCAGCCAGCCCCTCAGCATGCAGCAGGTCCCCCAGCAGCCCCTCCTGTCCCCCCCCATGGCACTACAGGTACAGCCCCCCATGAACGCCTCACCTCCCGGGCAGCAGGTGGGTGCTGGGTCCGGTGGGTTCGGGGGGGTTTGGAGGATCTCATTGTTGATGTTGTCCCCAAGGGAGTCATGGAGGGTGTCCAGGGAAGGGAACAGAGCTGGGGAAGGGGCTGGAGCACAAGGAAGGGCTGAGGGAGCTGGGGGAGCTCAGCCTGGAGAAAAGGAGGCTCAGGGGGGACCTTCTGGCTCTGCAACTCCCTGACAGGAGGGGGGAGCCGGGGGGTTGGGTCAGGCTCTGCTCCCAAGTAACCAGCAGTAGGACAAGTGGAAACAGCCTCAAGTTGCACCAGGAGAGGTTTAGGTTGGCTATTAGGGAAGATTTCTTCATTGAAAGGGTGATCCCTGGAACAGCTGCCCAGAGAATTGGTGGAATCACCATCCCTAGAAGTGCTCAGAAAATGTGTAAATGTGGCACCTGGGGACACGGTTTAATGGTGGCCTTGGCAGTGCTGGGTTAATGGATGGACTCAGTGATCTTGGAGGTCTTTTCCAACCTCAGTAATTCCATGATTCTGTGACTCCTCCAGCACAGGGGTTGAGCTTTAGCTCTGCACAACCAAAAGTGGCTTCTGTAATTTGGTGATAGCTTGTGCCCAGAAAAGAGCATAAAAGGGGATCCTCACAGTCACTTTAATTGGGGTAGTTGTTGTCACTGAGGGCAGCATTTTGTGAGACTTCATTCCACATAAATTTGTGAATAAAAAATTTAAATAAAAAAAGAAAACCCATATTGCCCCAATTGGGCTATTTTGGAGGAAATCATGTTCTTGGTCAGGTGCCTACCATGACTCTCGTTTATATACATTGCCTAATTTTAACTAATTAAAGCCACCCCCCAAAAATGAGGAAAGCTGATCAACTTTCAGCTGAAGCAGCACCACAATGTCCTTGTTGAAGTGCCAGCAGTGACAGCCATTCCCACCTTCCACAGCCATCCCACCGTGGTGGTTTGGGGTCCTGGGCCTGGACTGCTCCCTCTGTCCCTGCGGCTCCCCCTGCACATTTTAGGGACAATGCATGTAGATGTGTTTATGCACTGCTGTTAGATCTGCTGTTCTCCTGCTGTGGGTGCTCCTGTAACCCTCCCTTTCCTTTCCACTCTGCAGGACTTCTCCCATATTTCGTCTGAGTTTCAGAACAGTGTTGGACCCCGTTCGCCTGGCGCATCAAACCCTCCAGGAAGCACTGAGTGGGACAGCGACTACCCCAGCAGAGAGTGTGGGGTCAACCACTGCAGGCCAGTAGACAAAACAGCCCATTGCTAATGCAGTTCCTGTGATCTGAGCTGTGACAGTGGACAAGAGCTGGGAATCTGCCCTAAAATGTACAGTAAGAGGGTAGGCCGGTTATGGTCAGGGAAGTTCAAGGCTTCCTTGCCCCTGTAGGCTCACCTGGAAGCAGGTAGCTTAAAAATCATGGATAAATTCTTCACTGGACATTAAGAGATTTCTCTTTTTTTTAATTTCCATCCAATTAGTAACAGAGGGGTTGGACACATTTCCTTCTGGAGCAGACCAGGGAAGCCCAGTCTCCCAAACAGGGTCCCTGGAGGTTTGAAGGTGACCCCGTCCATAAGGCCAGGGAGACCTCATTACAGCCTTCCAGTATTTAAAGGGAGCTTATAAAAAAGAGAGAGAACAACTTTTTACATGGCTAGATAGTGATAGGACATGGGGGAACAGTTTTAAACTAAAAAAGGAGAGATTTAGATTGGATATAGGGAAGAAATCCTTCCCTGTGAGGGTGGGGAGGCCCTGGCACAGGTTGCCCAGAGAAGCTGTGGCTGCTCCATCCCTGGAAGGGTCAAAGGCCAGGTTGGACAGAGCTTGGAGCTACCTGAGATAGTGGAAGGTGTCCCTGCCCTTGGCAGGGGGTGGAATGAGATGAGATTTAAAGGTCCCTTCCAGCCCCAACCATTCTGTGTTTCCATGTTAAGCAACATCTGTCTGTTCCTAAAATGATTGCTCTTATCCCTGAGGCCACAACCTCCCATAGTTGTCTCTACCAGTAGGTCCACAGACATCTGCACAGATCCTCTCCCTTATGCCCTACAAGCTCTGGCATGAATGTGCCAGCATGAAGGTTCCTTCAGTGCTGCATGAATTCCTCAATAAATAAAAACCTCGGGATGGTCTTAAGGCTGGGGAACGGGGAGGGTGTGGAGGCCATTTCCAACCACTGCCTAATCCACTGCTCTTGGCTCAGCTTTAATAGTTTGGAGATTCTATTGTGCTCTGTGAAACAGGCCTGGGGTTTGCAGGGGGAGCAGGTTGGGAAGGAGGCTGGGTACCTTTGGAGTATTGTTTGATTCTCTAGAAGTACTGGAACATGGTGCTTTCAGAGGAGATAATAGCCAGCTCCCAGGCTTTTCAGAGCACAGCTCCTGTCTATGCCAGCAGAGCACTTACAATTGCTGGCCTGTACAGACTGTACAGACATTTATTTCTTTTCAAGGAGATAAATAACCGGCTGATCCATTAGAATATCTCTGCTGTCTGCCTGCCCGAGGGGGCTCAGCGACGTGGGCTCTGACAGTGACCTTTACGTGGTCCTTCCTGAAGCCTCTGCAGACAACCTGAAAGAAGGAACATGTTCAGGACTTGATTATAAAAGTCACTTTAAATGTTGTTGGCAAAATGCTAAAGGTGCTTGTTGAGTTGTGGATCTCAATTTCCAGAGGTGCTGAGCAGCTCCCTCTGCAAATCCCACTGCCTGGGCCCCATGGAGAAAGCTCAGGGTGCTCTAGAAACGGGTGTAGTGTTCCCATAGCAGTCAGGAGTGAGTTTTGTGTTGCTAAAACAAGCTCTGTGACATCTGGCTGGAGTGCTGCATTGTAAGCAGAGGGCCCATGCAATTCATGATCAAAGCTCATGCATTTCATGCCTTTGTCACAGCAGAAATATCAAATTTCATGGGTTTATCGCAGCTTCCTGGAAAAGAAAAATCATTCTAAACCCAAACAGATTATGCAGAGACTTCCAGATAATTATTAGAGTAGATTATACCAAGGAACTCAGATGGATATAGATCAGTACTGCAGAGAGTGCTTAGTGCACTGAAAAATATCATACTGGCTGTTAGGGATGCCCCATCCCTGGAAGTGTCCAAGGCCAGGTTGGACAGGGCTTGGAGCAACCTGGTCTGGTGGAAGGTGTCCCTGCCCTTGGCAGGGGGGTGAAACAAGATGAGCTTTGAGGTCCCTTCCAACCCAAACCGTTCTATGATTCAAAGACTTTCCTTCTGTGCTGCTTTCTCTGACGTACTTTGTACCAGTCTCCACCCAATGTTCAAAGCTGCCCTCGGGCTCCTCGGTGGCACCTTGCCATGAGCTGGGTGGGTCCAGCCATCAGCAGGACCTGGGCACAGCAGTGATGAAGGGAAGACAGGTCTCACTGGGTTTGATCTGTCAGTGCTGGTTTAGCTATAACCGGGAAGCCTCTGGATCATGTAATTGCCCATTTCAACCTCGAAAGTACCTTGAGCCTAATTGCAATTAAAGCAGCACTCTGAGGAGCAAAATCAGCTGCTGACTGGAAAGAAAAGGGAGCATTCACTGATGGGATGTGAGTGAGCTGTAGAGTCCCAGATTCCTGAAAGAGAGGATGGTCCCACCCTCCCCAGCACACAGACAGCCCTGTCCTGCTCTCTGGGTTATGATTTTTATTTCATGTCTAACCTTGATATTTCTTTAGCTCCCAACATGTGTTGGCACTGGGTTAGCTGGGGTAAAAACCTCCCAGTCCTCATTTTCTTTTGTGTTTGTCACCCAGACAACTTCTGGAAAACTGACAAGGTTGTCTTTCTCTCCGTCCTTCTCCATTAATAAGGGAACTGCTGTAGGGATTTTTGTTTCCCAGCCTATCTGTGCTATTTAAAATGCCATTAAATGACACTTCTTCCCACATGCCCCTCAGATTCTGGGATCCTGTGAGCAGACACTCCTTAATTCATAACTCAGCCATGTTAGGGAGAGAGAGAGAGAGTTTTAAATGTTTCTCAGCTCCTGCTTTCCCCATTCTTAATGACTTTTTCCTTACTGACTTCCATCCAATTTTCCTGGCTCTTTCTGGGCTGAAGCCCAAGCTGTCCTAGATTGTGAGCAAAGACATGGGTAGCATTTCTCAGCTCCTGCTTGGTGTGTGACTGTCACTTCCCACAAGTAACTGCAGCATACAATTTTATTGCTTTTTTGCCATCATATCACAAACTCCTTTCATAGTCCCCTGTCTCCCTCACCCGACAGCCTGATTCTGGCACTTGCTCTTTCCCAGGCACTGAATCCCCCTGTTTTACAGTGACTTTCTCCAAGGGAACTGGCTCACCTCTGTTGCAAGTGCAGCTTGGTTTACAATCGTGTGCAAATCTTTCTTAACTCCTTAATTAAATCATATTTCCTTGAAGCACCTCACTTATTTTTTCTGCCTTGTTTTCTGATTACAACTCTTTTCACACTTTCACTGGCTGGGTCCTTTCCATCCTAGCACATTCTGTGATTCTGTGATTTACCTTTTTCTCCTCACATTTAGGTATTTTTGGAAAAACACTGAACTGGATTCATCTCTTCTTGTCCTTCCTCTCATTTGCAAGGCACGGATTAGGTTCTTTTTGTGTTTCATCCTTCGACTTTTCTCCCCTCTTCCCACTCTACTTTGGACTAAAAGACAGGACCCTCTCCATTATGCCTTGTCCAGACACAAAAAAAACATGTACAGCCACTCCATCCAGACATTTATAACCTCCCTAATTCCTGCTAATGACAAAGTGATCCTCTCCAAATGGGGGAATTTTCCAAACCAGAAGCTAAATGAGCAAACACTATAAAAAGGCAAGGATAACCCATCACAACTGCACTTAGTTTGGATTCAATTATTTATGTTAATACTATGTAATGAACTGGGAAATGTACTGTAGCATGTTTTGTAAAATTAATGAAGTTTTAGTACTGGAATACCTTGCTGCTGCTCGGTGGCATTAAATCTTGGCTGAGTGCAGTAGGGAAGACTCTGCATTTTAAATGCAGATTATAAAATGTGGAGATTAGCAAAGGGCAGGCTCTTCACTGTCATGAGGCAGCTCTGTCAACAACAGCACTGCCTTGCTCACTGCCCCTTCCCTGTTATTCTACTCACCAGCACACCCACACCAGAATCTCCCAAGGCTTTGCAATGTTCTTCATCACTTTTTAAGGCCAAGATGTCCTTATGGAGCCAGTGATGTTTCCCTCATAAATGCATAGGCAATAAACCCCAGTAAAATGCCTGGATTTCAGAGCCAAACCCACACAGGACGTCAGCCAGGGGAGAGGGCTTTCAGTCACTCCTCTCCCTACTATTCCATGAAAAAAAAGAACGTCTGGTCTCCCTTGTAGGACACTGTTGATGGCAAGTTAGAGTGGCCAGGGGGTTGAAATGCCAGGTGGCACAGGCAGGGAAGGGAGCAGTGGTGCCTCTCTGCACACCCTGCTGTCCCCATGCAGGCTGTCTCAGCTGATTTCCCCCCTCCAGAACACACCTGGATCTCTTGACATCAAAATCATGGTTTCAGTAACATGATAATTCACGACCTGGTGCGCCAGGGATGTGCAGAGCACACAGCCTGGCTGCTGTCCCAGCAGCCCTCCTCCGCAGCCTCCTTGGATTCCTTGTTCCTCCTACGGTCTTCTTCAGACCAGCTAATCCTGCTCTCTCCAAGATTTATTCCCCTCACTTCTTGATTATTAATTTTTTTCATTTCACATATCTGGGGGAGAAAAGCATCGAGCAGATGGGTGTCTGCTGCTCCCATGCTCTTAAGCCATGAAACAGATGTAAATCCTCCTCACAAGCATCTTCAGGCATAAGCCCCCTCAGTCGCATTTTTGGGACCCTCTACTCCTTACGTAGAGTCAGAGTGACATCTTTTATCCAAATTCAGGTGTACACTTTCCAAAGCTCCATGGCTCAGCCTAAGGGCAGCGTGTGATGAAGCAGGGGATGGTAGCCCAGGGGCTTATCCCTGGCACAGCACTCCAGGATCCTACTGGTGTGACCTGCAGGGACATCCTGCCCTGCAGCCACAGCAAGAGGAAAAGTTCAGCCACAGGAAGGAATTTATTGTCGTAGCCCTCATTGCTGAAATTCAGGAATAAATAAAATTGCACCAGGCTCTTGCTCTCTACAACTACCTGAGAGGAGGGTGTAGTCAAGGGGATGTTGTTCTCTTCTCCCAAGTGATGGCACAAGAGGAGACAGCCTCAAGTTGCACCAGGGGAGGTTTAAATTGGATATCAGGGAAAATTTCTTCACTGAAAGGAGGGTCAAGCATTGGAAGGGGCTGCCCAGGGCAGTGGTGGAGTCCCCATCCCTGGGGGAATTTAAAAGACGTGTAGATGTGGCACTTGGGGACATGGTGCAGTGGTGGCCTTGGCAGTGCTGGGGGATGGTTGAACTCGATGATCTCAGAGGGCTTTCCCAACCTCAGTAATTCTGTGACTTTTACGTGCCTCTGCCTTGCCCCTCTCTGTGCAAACCACGTGTACAATTTTAGCCTTGCCATATGGACCATAGAGAAACGAAGCCTAGACTGACTTTATTTCAATTAGAGTAAGGCAGTGATTTAAGTATCAATTTGAAAGTAAGAGGTAAAGCATTTCTGATAATATAGGTAATGAATTGACCTTTTGATTTTGATTCCAATTGCTGGGAAAAGTGTTTCACTCAGGTAACAGAGGTACTTCAGTTATCCACGCAGAAATGTATGGACGTGTTCTCATTGCAGAGCACCAATAACAGCAAATAAACACCAGTTATAAAACCCCTCCTGGTGTATTCCAGGATCCTGCCTCACCCTGTGCCTCTCGTTTCTCTTACAGCATGCTGCCAAGGGACAAGGCACTCTACCTCACCTAAGGCTCACCACCCCTTTTGGAGGAGGCTCAGAGGAAGGACACTTTGAGAGGGTCTATCCCACGGACCACCCCGGGGAGGCACGAGCAAGTCGTACGGGCGGGAGAGCTGCCACTTGCACCTCGTCGCTGGCTTCGTTCCCAGGCTCTGAGAGCAGTTTTGTTTTGTTTTGTTTTGTTTTTTTTTCTTTCCTTATTTTTTTTTTTTTTGGAACTCTAAAAAAAAAAGTCTACTACTTTTTTTTTTTTTTTTCTCCCTCCGAAAGCCAAAAAAAAAAAAAAAAAAAAAAAAAAAACAAAAAACGCCTCGTGAATCGTAAAGAACAAAAAAAAAAAAAAATAAAAAAAAAAAAAAAAAACTAAAGATAAAAATAAAAAAAAAAAAATTTTAAAATAAACGCAAAACCAACAAAAAAAAAATAATAAAAATTAACTGAGGACACCGTTTTTCTGCTTGCCATCAGCTTAGCTACAGACTATTTTCCTAGTGAACTGCTTTTAGACACAGCATAAGCCCAGGTCTGGTGTCCTACAGCATTAGGCCAGCTCAGTAGGAGGATGCACTCTTTTGACTTGCTAACAGCACTAAACTTTGTGCAAGAAAATGTGAAGTTTGTGTGAATATTGTACATGCAAAGGCCTTGGATGGTCTGGCAAAAAAAAAAAAAAAATTACAAAAAATAAATAAAAACTATTGCTAGGTAGGTGGGGGGAGAGAGCAGAAGGCAAAATACGAGCAGAAAAATGTGAAAAAGATCATGAAAATATAATTTGTTGGATAGTTGTAAGTAGTTTACTAAGTGTTTTAGAGCTGTGCTAAAGACATCTTTAAGATTTTTTTGTGAAAGAAATTAGTAGTTTACTTTATAGTAAAAGCATTTTATATTAATTGTAGCACATTTTTTAGTTATACATAGAAGGGAGATGTGTATAAAAAAACAACAACAAAAAAAGCCTGCCAAACTTGTTTCTATTATTTGTACAGCAAGAAATGGACAATTTATATCCATGTTGTATGGCATTATTATTTTTTTCAGCCATATGTCCATCTATTTAAAAATTGCTGGCAATGATTTTTGTCTATTTATGAAAAATTAGAGAGCATAATTACAGTTTCTCATAAGGTGCATTTTTGGGGTTCTTTTTTTTTTTATTTTATTTTATTTTTATTTTGTTTGACGGCGCTGTTTTAGCAGCACCTGGCACATTCGGTTCACAATGCTTATCTTACCTTTCTTTATAATAAAACATATGAAAAGTAGAGCTGAAGCAGTCTCTCCTTATTCTGGGGGACACCCTGCAAGTGTCCTGGCCAGCGAGATCCCTGCGTTGTCCTCCTCAGCTTTTCCATCCTTCCCTCCTCTCTCATCACCTGCCCCAGCTCTGTTGACCCAGTTTCGGTGTTTCCTTGGATGAGAAGGACACGAAAAGGATGGAAAATTCCCATGGTGTAAGGATGGAACTGGCATTTCCAACCTTCTGTAGCAGGGATGGAAAATTCAAGTGGTGTGAAAAGCAGCATGATGTGAAAGTTCACCCCCTGGGCCACCTGCCTGGAGGAAAACTTTTAATTAATGTACCATTTTAAGCCCATTTGTAGACACAGCTTGGCTGTAGGAGCCTCATCACGTTGTGTCACAGAAGGGTTTGGGTTGGAAGGGAGCTTAAAGCTCATCCAGTTCCACCTCCTGTCATGGGCAGGGACACCTTCCACTAGACCAGGTTGCTCCAAGCCTCGTCCAACCTGACCTGCAACTCTGCTCCAAGGATTTGAACAAAACATGGTCGTTTTGATCATCTCATGGTCTCACGTGCTGTAAAACCTTCCTGCCAAGGAATGCCCATTGAAGTCCACCAAAATACCAAGCCCCAGCTCTTACTGCCCCACAGGCCACTGGGCAGGGCAAGGAACATGTTGTGGGAGTTGTCCTACTGCACCCTCTGGTTGACACCTCATCCTACACACCCTGCTGGCACATCAGACACCCCAATCCCCACCCAGAATTGCCCACCCTGCATTGGGGCAGGGAGGGAAACCTTCTGAGATAGAGGGAGGGTTTGGGGCATGGTGGGTTTGGACCAAGCAGCCCCCAGCAGACCACCCTGGATGCCAGGAGAGGTGGAGATAACAGCACCATGGCAAATCCCTGGAGCTTCAGGACCCCCCAGAGGCTTGAAGGTATCCAGGTAGGTCACAAGCTGCTCCTGCAACCATACTGTGGAACTGGGCAAGGTTCTGGATGAAGCTTTAGATGTGGGACTCTGCCTCGTTGCTGGCCAGCATGAAGTTCCCCTTTTATCTCTGCAATCATGAGGCATTTGAAAATAAAAATAAAATGCATAAAAAAACCTTCCTAGGGAGCAGCATGAGCAATGGCATTGGCAGCCCAGCTTAGTGAGCTTGTGGTGAGGAGATAATTACCCTGCAATATCAGAGCCAGGAGATTTCTTCCAAATATGCAATTATTAAAATAAGGGGGGAAAAATAGAACATTAAGATGAAAACCTTCCTTGAGTTATCACAGCGAGGAGATAGAACTTACTCCAGGGAGAGTTTCTGGAATGTTAATATTTTGTGTGTGGCAGGTAAGTGGCCTGGAGGCTCTGAAATCACAGGGAAGAGGTTTCTAGCCCTGGGAGAAGGTCTGGAAGGAACCATCACTGGAAGTGTTGCTTTGCTCCAGGTCCCTGTGGATTGTCCTTTCTGGAGGAAGGTGCCATCCATGATGCCCAGCAGCCCCCTGGCCCTGTGCCCCAGCGGTGTCACCTTTGGGTCGCTGTGACAGTGGATTTGGAGCACTTTGGAAGCCTCCACGGAGAAAGTGTCCTCTATTTGTGGGACCACAGTGCAGGGAGCCATTGAAAGGTGACCTTGCCAGTTTAGGATTAACCACATTTTTAACAACCTTCTGGCCATCCACCCACATTTCTGCAGGCCTGCTCTGCTCCCTCTGCTTCTCTGCAAAGGGCTGGTGGCCAGCAAGGAGCAAGGACCCACTTCCATCCTTGGTGATGTGGAGCCACCTCAGGAATGAAGGGCAGTTGTCTCTTAGAGAGCCTGAAGCTTTAATAAGAAATTGTGAGGCATTCCAGACCACTTCAATCACTCCTAATCTCTAAATTTGCATGATGGCAGCTGTGCTTAAATGGCATTCCAGCTGTTAGCTAATTGTCATGGACCTGGAGTTGCTCCAGGGAAGCAACTGGGAGCTGAGCCTCCCATCCACCATCACAGCTGGCTCACAAAATCATAGAATCCCAGGATGGTTTAGGTTGGTTTTGGGACCTTAAAGGCCATCCACCCCCCCTGCCATGGGCAGGGACACCTTCCACTAGCCCAGGTTGCTCCAAGCCCCGTCCAACCTGGCCTTGGACACTTCCAGGGATGGGGCAGCCACAGCTTCTCTGGGCAACCTGTGCCAGGGCCTCACCACCCTCACAGCCAAGAATTTCTTCCTAACATATAATCTAAATTTCTGCTCCTTCAGTTTGAAGCCAGTGCCCCTCGTCCTGTCACTATTTGATGTTGTAATTAGTTGTTCTTCGTTGTTTTTACAGGCCCCCTTTAAGTAATGAAGGGGTTCATCCAGTCTCCACCAACAGCTTCAGCCCCCCGAGGGTCAGCACCCAGAGCCCTGGGCTGGGCACCAATGACAGGACTGGGGGAGCCTCCCCTTGCCCTGAACCTTGGTCTATAATTAACATTAGTAGAAAATGCAGTAGCTGGGTCTCAAGAAGCCTCAGGGCAGGGTCAGCTCTTCCTGAACCCTACCTGTGTGCCTAAAGTCCCTTTAAAAACCTTTAAATTCCAGGCAGATAACCTAAATCTCTGTCCCTACAAAGCAAATCCCTTGCTTTTGAACATAAGGAAGAATTTATTGCTTTCCTTGTTGCGGTAATTTTTTCCATATTTGAAGAAGGATATTGGCTCCCCCCCCACCTCCCCTCCACCTGCCCCAGCTGTTGCAATGGCAGAGGTCATGTTCTGGAGCAGGATGAGCTGTGCAGCTTCCAATTTTAGTCAAAGAGCACCAGTTAGATCCTCAAAAGTCTCTGGAACAGCTTTGGGGCTGGGGACTCACAGGGCAGGGGAAGGGGCAGGACCAAGGCAGGCATTCCCAGGGATCGGGCTAATGATGGAGAGGGATGTTAAGAGGCAGGAGCAGGGAGAGACCTGGCTAATTGACTTTGGTTTATGAAGACATAATTAGCAGCGCTGCAGGATGTAATGGGGAGTTTAACAAACCTCATCAGCGGGATCCCGGTGGTGTTTAACCCTTGGAGTGCAGCCCCAGGAAGGTGGGGTGGGTGACTCCAGACAGCCATGCCTGGCTCCCACAGAAACAGGGATACCACCAGCATCCCACCACCCCACCAGGACACAGCCTCCTGTATAGCCAGGGTGTGGAAAGGGCCCGCTCCTGACTTGTGGTTTCTCCTCAGGCACCACCCTGAGCTGTGCCCACGGCCACGAACGCCCCGGCAGCGCTGGGAGGAAGCTTTGTCTTTGTTACATCTGTGTTATTATCAAGATGATGGAATGGAAGGGAAAACAGCCCTGACAAGCAATATTGAGGGGTTTACGCAAGAAGGATCAAAGGAAAGGACTTCATTTAATAAATCCTGGGTCCCTGACAACTGCAGCATGTGGGAGGAACAGCAGCCTTGTGCCAGCCCCGGCGAGGTCCTGGTCCCCACCGAGGGCAGATTTGCACCTTGGCAAGTGTCCACGTTCCCAAAGGTCCTGTGGGGGTTGGGAATGCTCTGGTGAGAGCAGCAGTCCTCACTGTGCTCCTGCTGGGAGCAGAGTGGTCAGACGTAGAGTGACTCCATGGTGATGGAAATGTGCTGCAGCACTGGGACCCAGCTCTTGGCACAGCCCCCACACTCAGGGGACACCAGGAACCCCAGTGCTGTGCAACCAGGCAAAGAGGTTGGATGTTGGACCCAGCACTGGCTGTGCAGCACCTACAGCTCATCACCCAGATGTGCCTGTGCTCCACCAGGGTAGTGGCCACCATCACACACTCCCACCTGTGCCATGACCCAGCCCATGGATGCAGGCATGGGATCACAGAATCATAGAATGGTTTGGCTTGGAAGGGACCTTAAATTTCACCTCATTCCAGCCTCCTGACATAGGCAGGGACACCTTCCACCAGCCCAGGTTGCTCCAAGCCCATCTAGCTTGGCCTTGGACACT